CAGAGTGACAGAAATCCCCCACAAAAAACCCTAAAATGCACAGGAACCGCATCTAAGAGCGGGTTCTGGCGCGGATCATCCAAGCAGTACTGTACATTCCCATAGGAAAAAAATAAGGATGATAAAGAAACATACACGGAAGTGTGTTTAATTATAATCTATCTTGTGAACAATCATCTCGAGTCCGCCTTGAATGTTATCAAAAGCGCATCTGCGGCACAAGGTACATGCTGTATTTTATCAGCAATCCCAGGACAAAAAAAGGAAACCTGCAGTCTGAGATGTTTTTAGACCGCTAAGTGTCGGTCATGCACTCCGGGTGAACTTAGAAAGTAGCGGTATATTCTGGCACTGGCCCGCCGCTCCCTCGCAGCTCGGCTCGGCGTCCGCATCACTCCCCTATCGGACGCTCTTTTATCCCCATTGGTCGCACAGCACGGCGGAGGGAGGGCAAAGTCACTCTTTAAATAAGTCATCTAGGTGCCGTTCAACAGCAAAAGTAAAAGTGAATTAAGTTATCAGTGTAGTAGCTTACATTTATTATAGGCAATGCATAACATGCGTGTAACTGTCTTTCGGATATTTTAATATTTAAATTACAATTAAAGGTATTACTGAAGCACTATAAAGTGAAACAATTGATTTGAAACAATAACAGCGACAATTACGGTGATAATTGCTGGATAATATACAGTAATAAAAATGAATAACAACATGGGACGCGTTTAAAGGTTACTGACTTAATATTTAATTACATATAATGCGTGATATAGGCCTAGAAGACAGTTTCATCCTAACCTAGATATAATATTGACATCGTTGTACTTTTCCCCGTACAGTATAGTGGATGTTGACTGAAATAGTTCAGCTTAAGTGCCTAAATGAGTCTTCAATCTGTACCCTGTTTAAAAATCAGCTTGTGTAACGGATATCCTACGAATATGAATTAATCCTAATTAGATACTGTACGTTACACAGCGATAATCGACGTCTTTTCCACTCATGGACCTTTAATAGACATGTCTTATAGAAACACACATGATCACACTTCAAAGCTCTTGACACATTATGCATTTATTAGACTGTATATTGGTACGGTAGCAATAGATACCCAGCTCAATGAGTAGTACAGCAACCTTCGACTGCATTAACTGTTTTGTGTTACTGTTGCGAAATAACACGTTTTTCCTAATCATGAGCACTTGTTACCACAGCAATTCATATGACGGTGTGAATTAAGGTGGCATATTATGTAGTTTTCCAGAATCAGCACCGACTACGCATAGAGCATAAATCATTTTATTAATGACATTTTATTGCACATAATTTAGAGGTAATTGTCATATCAAACTGTCGGCTTATAAACACTCCTTAAAAAGGTTAAAAACCCGACTGGTTAATTTAGCTTAGAACTGTTTGTGCTGTTCAAGGACAGAGAGAGGATACATCACAAAGACAGAGTGTATATTCCTGAAGAGGTAAAACCTAATTATGACAAGTAGACATCCATGCATGACACGAGTCATACGGAGGTGACGCTTAAGAAATGTCTTTGCGGTAGAGAGCAAAGGTAATATTTTACTTAACCTGAATTTTGTTATCCAATAATTAGAGTTTTGAGCTGTTTTTTTTTTATTGTTTTTATTAATTATTATTATTATTATTATTATTATTAACTAAATAAAATGTCTGCTTACTAAAATTACCTATAGTTTGACCTGTAGCAGTGAAAAGTGACACATTTTTGAAAGATAATTACATTTGTATGCAGGAGTGTGGGGACACTTAATATTTAATTTGGCTCCATTCACCCCCCCCATTTAAATAGACCTTTGTATTTAAATTGTAAAGTTCTGTCCCCCTACCAATATCAAACTCTATCCTATGCCGTTGTTTGCATGTGTATGTTTACATAATGCAATGAATTATAATTATAATAGTTTCTTGACTTACAATGAATCTTAACAATGAATTAGTATTGTTCTATTATCAGTGTGATCACTGTATCGCGATGTAACGTTTTAAGGATCAACAAGACAGAATGCTTAATCCCTGCCTTCCTCTCAGGCTGTTAATCATCATTGCCAGTGATGCATGGAAGTCACCAGGCTTGCTAAGCTAGTCAGTGATGTGCAGCCCAAATGATGCCACTGTCCCCGTTTCGACAACTCTGACACATCAGCTGTACACTAATGAGGAACCTTTGCTCAGAATATAAATCCCTCCGCTCTATCTAATGACATAATTATTGAGCTTTTGCACGTTACGGACTGTGATCCTGTTATTCACCCTCACTTGGCATTGTTTAGTTCCAGATAAAGCACAGGATTATAATAAGCTGTGTAAATATAAACTGTGCGATGGTAGAATTCACAGCTCCAGGAGAGTGACATTTGGTAGACACTCGGCACAAATCCTAACTGATCACTACAACTTTAACATTTACGTTTTAAACTTTAATAAAAAGCAAAGCCTTTACCATAAACTAGTTATCTAAATGCACTTCAAGGGTGTTTAATATTAAGGAGCTGAGATTCCATTTCCACTGAATTTCCATTTCCACAGATCCAAAAAAAAAAAAAAAAAAAAATCACATTCAAATAACCCCCTTTTTTCTAGAAAATAAGGCAGCTGGCATCGCCTATTATGGATTCATACCACCTTGCATAAAAAGCAGTAAATTTGGCTGATGGTCCTCAGATGTTCAGGCATGAAATCTGCAAAGGCTTCCAGATGATTCAACAGAAACATTCCCCAAAAACAAGCCTTGTATACTCCTGGGCCATTTCCCACTTTAATATTCGCCAAATGTTCTCCAAACATTTACTAATCAGCAGTGAGGTGGGGATTTGACTGGTCATGTGATCACACGGAGAGGTCATGTGATCACACGGAGAGGTCTCTGGTGGACCCTGGGCTTTGGCTTTACGCTGTTGTAAAAGGATGTTGACATTTAAAGTTTCACATGCTTTAGCAATTCAATGTAGTCACCAAGTTTGATTCTTTCCGGATAGAAACATATCAGTTCCATGTTAGAGGCCACATCCCCTTACGGGTTGAGCTGTTGTTTGTTTCACTTTTGTCCCTGATGATCCCTGGACCAATATTTTAAAGAAATAATTATAAATATTAAATATGCACTGCACTTTCTCTCCTATGTCTGGCATTCGGTTTACAGGTACATGAGCCCATAGATTATTTTATTCACACACTTAAGGGATGGTTTAGCCAATAGCTACAACTATAAATATTTCTTCGACAATAATCTCTGATGTAATCTTCTACAATTTGCAGATTTGTAGGATGTGGAAGACTAGCTTTTCAGCTTCCTTTTTCATAGCGCCAAAATATACCCTTTTCACAAAGGTTGGACATCCCATCCGCTTTTGAGACTCTCCTTGAATAACTGTGCTGATCTCCAGATAATGCCTGATAATATAATGACCAGCTGATTTTGCGGAATATAAAGAAGACCCTATAATCCTGTCTGAGGCACCAGCCCACAGACGTCTAAATAACTATACACATCTTCACTTACTAAAGTCCCATGGGACTTTAACTGTAGATTGAGATTCTGTCTTAGAAAAAAAAGTTACATTTATAAAGTTAAAGTTAGGAAAAGGACTGGTTGCTAATATACATTGCATACATGGTAAAATTTGGAATATTAATGTAGCTAATTTCCAGTATACTAGGGCCAGTTTAATTAAAGGCAGGCATTAACCTGCAGGTCTACCTTTATGTTAAACAGTCTCAATGGTCAAACTTTGTTGCACACTAGGACACAATATTCTAAATATGATTATCCATTTCATTTAGTTCAAATGTTCCTGAAAGAGATCCAAAGTCCTGTTTTTAGGGAATTTGTCAGTTTGTTCTTGTATGGTATCATAAGGCTTTATGGTTCCAGATTCTGAACTTTTGGAAGAGGACTATCTGTAGAACATGATTAAAATCTAAAGAGCAAAACAAACATTTTGTGGCAGAGATTGATTACAGTGGCTAACATCTAATGTAAGAGGATCAACATGGCATCCCCTACAGGAGTGACTATTTGTCGGGGAATAGATATGAATCTTAGTGCCTTCCAGAAAGCAGCAGTGCTTCTTTAAAAAAAAAAAAAGAAAAAAAAAAACTAGTAGTAATAGCATTTTTCCAAAAATCCCCCCAATATGTCACTATACTGACAACGGAATTCTGTGGGATCAATAGGCACAATTCAACCCCTTTTTCTTAAGAACCTAAAAGCTAAGAAAAAAAATCCTACAAACATTTACTTATAATAAAATAATAATATCAAAAACCACCCAAACCAACCACCACCAACACTTTTTCACAGTGTCAGCCTGACCAGCTTAAAAAACTAACAAGTCAATTAGTTAATCAGGGCCATCTGGGTTCCATTACGACAGAAGCCTGTGGGCCCGAGACAGATGATAAACTGCCATGGAAACACAAAAGCGGAACCAAGCCCAACCCTATGCAGTCGCTTTGCCTCCCACTGGCTCACAAATTAGCATGTGAAATGGCTAAAATTGCAATTACGGACAAATTGAATAAAGGGTTTTGCTGAGCAATATTAAACCTGTGTGGCTTTGCACGTGAAGGTGCTATGATTGTTTAAGAATGTCCTGTTTTTAAAGTCAAGGTTTTGTATTTTGCATTTGCATATGTAACATAACAATCTACATTCCATCTGTATATTAACAGGGACAATTTATCATTTGTTTAACTTGCTTAACTCAATGCGACATGAATTTGCCTGTCTCACAAGAGCGGTTATGCAGATGTAAACAAGGAAATTAAGACATGTTCTAGAACATCAACACATGTCTTTCAGAGACCTAATAACCATTAGAACCTATATGTACACGGATGAGCCAAAACATTGTGACAAATTAGCATGTGAAATGGCTACATTTGCAATTACACACAAACTAGTTAAAGGCATAGCATTACGAAACCGGCGTGATCCTAATGTTCTGGCCCATTGGTGTCATTTAATTCGCTTCGTTTATAGCTGGGTGGCATGGTGTTCTGTAGGGTGGTACACTGCGTGGCATGGTGTTCTGTAGGGTGGCACACTGCGTGGCATGGTGTACTGTAGGGTGGTACACTGCGTGGCATAGTGTTTTGTAGGGTGGTGCACTGCGTGGTATGGTGTACTGTAGGGTGGTACACTGCATGGCATGGTGTTCTGTAGGGTGGCGCACTGCGTGCATGGTGTACTGTAGGGTGGCACACTGCGTGGCATGGTGTTCTGTAGGGTGGCTCACTGCGTGGCATGGTGTACTGTAGGGTGGCACACTGCGTNCTGCGTGGCATGGTGTTCTGTAGGGTGGCTCACTGCGTGGCATGGTGTACTGTAGGGTGGCACACTGCGTGGCATGGTGTACTGTAGGGTGGTACACTGCGTGGCATGGTGTTCTGTAGGGTGGCACATTGCATGGCATGCTGTTCTGTAGGGTAGTACACTGTGTGGCATGGTGTACTTTAGGGTGGCACACTGCATGGCATGGTGTACTGTAGGGTGGTACACTGCGTGGCATGGTGTTCTGCAGGGTAGCACATTGTGTGGCATGCTGTTCTGTAGGGTGGTACACTGCGTGGCATGGTGTACTGTAGGGTGGTACACTGCGTAGCATGGTGTACTGTAGGATGGCACACTGCATGGCATGGTGTTCTGTAGGGTGGTACACGGTGTTGCATGGTGTTCTGTAGCATGGCATACTGCATGGCAAAGGTGTTCTGTAGGGTTGCACACTGTGTGGCATGGTGTACTGTAGGGTGACACACTGCGTGGCATGGTGTACTGTAGGGTGGTACTCTGCGTGGCATGGTGTTCTGTAGGGTGGCCCACTGCGTGGCGTGGTATACTGTAGGGTGGNACACTGCGTGGCATGGTGTACTGTAGGGTGGTACTCTGCGTGGCATGGTGTTCTGTAGGGTGGCCCACTGCGTGGCGTGGTATACTGTAGGGTGGTACTCTGCGTGGCATGGTGTTCTGTAGGGTGGCCCACTGCGTGGCGTGGTATACTGTAGGGTGGCATGGTGTACTGTAGGGTGGCACATTGCGTGGCATGCTGTTCTGTAGGGTGGTACACTGTGTGGCCTGGTGTACTTTAGGGTGGCACACTGCGTGGCATGGTGTTCTGTAGGGTAGCACATTGCGTGGCATGGTGTTCTGTAGGGTAGCACATTGCGTGGCATGCTGTTCTGTAGGGTGGTACACTGTGTGGCATGGTGTACTTTAGGGTGGCACACTGCGTGACTTGGTGTAGTGTATGGTGGCACACTGTGGCATGGTGTAGTGTATGGTGGCGCATGGTGTAGTGTAGCCTTTGTATTTAACTAATGTTTGCAATATGCGTAATCAGACACATCAGAGTAAATTATTTGCATTCTAGTACTTTGCGAAATAAAGGTAATTCTGGTGGTTCATATTGTCACTTCACACCTCCAGGCTTCCATATGGAAGTTCAGGCTCCACCCTGGCTTTGTGTGTGGGTGCAGCTTGCAGGTTGGCGCCATGTTTCCTCCTAAGACATGCAGTTGGCTTGGCCACAGTGTGTGAATGTGTGCCCTGTGTTGGACTGGCACCCTGTTTGGGGTGGTGTGTGCCCTGTGTTGGACTGGCACCCTGTTTGGGCTGGTGTGTGCCCTGTGTTGGACTGGCACCCTGTTTGGGGTGGTGTGTGCCCTGTGCTGGACTGGCACCCTGTTCGGGTGTCTCCTTGCATTGTTTGTGCACCATGGTGCCTGGGTTAGGCTCCCGCTTCCCTGTGGCCCTGTACTGGATCAGTGCGGGGAGGACATGTGGATTGCGTGTGGTCATGTAAAGCAGGGCATCACCTTTCTGGGGAGTGAATGACTTTGTAAAGTAGTTGCCTCCCAGTTATGGCACCTCTGAAACGCAGCCGTCTCTGCGCTGGTGTTAACGGCAGCCTACACATGGTATGATGAACCCTGCAGTCCGGCTGATGCCAGTCATCGAGACACGGTGCGGGATGACATGGGGTATCATAGAGAGTCCAATGCCTGTGTCCGGATGGCAGGCGCCGATGCCATGGGGTTCTGTAATGCTTGGTGCACAATACAACGACCCTCCCTTGGTGTGGTCTGTCTTGGACGACCGGAACCTTCACGACGTGTGTGGGTACCCTCATGTGCCCATTGGTTACAACATCGGGTGACTGTGGCCCCACATGCCGGGCAATTGCACGATACGACCAGCCAGCCTCATGCAAACCCACAATGTGAGCCTATCAAACTCTATCAAGTGCTGGTGATGCTGTCTAATGCGTCTACGACGCATCCTCTGTGTCTGGTGACTAGACCTGCCAGCTCCTTGCAAATCGAACCATTTACATACCCATTGCTGTTCTGCACATGTGCCAAACTACATCCAAATCGGACCATTACTTCTGGGTGCGTTACTCTTTTTATAACGAGGGGTACAGGGACAGCTGTAGTATAGACCTTTATTACCCAGACATACTTTAAACTTCAGACAAAAGCATAAACAGTCATCTAAAGCAATACCCAGTCCCAAGGTTACTGCATTTGGTATTAGCATCAGGTAAAAGGTTTTTTCTTTAATACACACATAGTAAATGCATAACTGATCATCTGAAAATGTAGACGGTACGCTCATTTGAAGACAATCTTAGTATAATCTGTAGTGGCAGCTGAACAAGACCCCCC